AAAAAAAAAAAAAAAAAAAAAAAAAAAAAAAAAAAAAAAAAATCCTAGATGGCATGAAAAGCTAGAAAATGAATTCCATAGAAAAATAGAGCCATCAAATAAGCAAAAACATGGAATTGGAATTAATTTTCCATTTTCCTTGGAAAATTTGGGTGTATCAAACACACCCTTGTGGTACATTTAGCACGCTACACAAGATAATTGAAAAAATTTATGCCATTATCCAATCAAGCATACTAAATGTTGATAACCTTGGAGAAATGTATTGAACAATTAATTAAGACTTTGATTTTCAATTCACCAAGGCTATCAGTGTCGAACAATTGAAATTTACCATATCTAGAAAATACAAAAAACTATCAAACTCCTGGCCACATTATATATTAGAGACAAAAAGTTGCCACCGGAGAGGAAATCAAAGATTTTATCCCAATTTATTATTCAAGCAACTAAATGCAAAATGCACAAGCATTTCAAGTCCTTGATCAATTATTCCTGCCCTAGTGGACAAAATGGCATTATCTTTCACTCTTAATAAACATATGCACTTTGCTTTAAGAGGTACGATTTGTAAAACCTCGGCCACGACTCCTTCCATATCCACCGCCACCATAACCCCCCCTTCCATGGTAAGAGCCTCGGAACCAACCACCACCTTGAGGGCCACGACCTCCTCGGCCACCACGATACCTTGAGAAATCTCCAAATGTCTGCATCAATACATGCATCTTAGCCAACAAATGGAAAATCAACATATGGGAAAACCATCACAACCAAATGAGCATACCTCTGTATCTAACTTCATTTGCTCTGAATACCTAGTCCTTCCATGACTTGACTCATTGTCAAGGGCATTACATGAAATGGAGCAAAAAAAGTCGTCCTTTTTGTAAACAAACTTCAAAAGAAAAAGTAGGGTGGTAAGGAGAGGTGAAGCAATCATAGAATAAAAAGCATTCACAATTAAAATAATTACCGTGATCCCAATCTTTGGCAGTTCAGTATCACCTTCATCACGTGAATCATCATCTTCATTGCTACCATTTTCATTCCCTTCCTTAGACTAGGATTTGTTATTTTTACCCAGATGACCCCATACTTCATCCTTATTGAATTTTTCATTTATTGCCATAAAATCAAAATCTTCCATAAATTTTGTCACATGATGGGAGACCTGCAAGGTCAATGATCAATTTCCAAATCAGGGACTCCCATTAACAGTCAACAACACATAAGCAAAACATTTATAATTTTAAAAGATCTCAGATTATATTCATCTCATATTAAACAATTCGAAATCTCGCATATCAAAATAGGCTAAGTTTATCTGACATGATTGGGGCTCCCTCTAATTACAATCTCAAGTGTTTATTGACTCAAAAACTAGATTAAGAAATGAAGGCACTATTCTTCCTGTGATGTGATACCATCTTCTGGTCCATTTTAAAGACATTGACTTAGGGCGTGACAAGAAAGGAGAGAGAAGAAATGGTAGGACGAAAATATGTACTTCTGATCCAATAATAATAAAGTTGTGTTCAAAATGAAAAATCAGAGCCCATCCTTAACTCCAAGGTAACTTCTAACATGTAACAATCAATTAAAAACATCTATCTGACTAACATAAGATGACATTCTAACAGACAAAAAACCCTAATCTAATTAAGACTGCTTGTCAAATTTATAAATGGTTTATAGATAGAAATAGTAAGAAGAATAGTAATGGATCCCACAAAATGTGTGAATATAATGAGTAAAAGTAATTATGAATATTAGGTTGAAAGTAATGTTTGGTTTTGACTAAATTTATAAACAATTTATAAATTTGTTTGCCAAATGAAGGCAAAACGTCTATCTCTTCTACTTGGATGTTTTCTTCAATAAGCAATAGTATTTGCCATTTGACCTTCTACAAGTCTACAACTTTAGAGGAAAGGATTGATGAGGGTTGGTTCACCAATGCATGGAAAAAGGAGGCATGATATTTTGTGAGAATTTAAATTCAACAAACTGTTAATGAAACATATGGCTAAAGCTACCACAACATAATGTAGAGAGACATGAAAGTAGTATATAAAGGCTACGGAGATTATTGGGGGTTGGGGGGGGAGCGGGTTGAATGAATGAAACAAATCTAAGATTAAATATAGTGAATAAAGTTCTTACCCCAGTTCCTCTTCCCCCACGCCCTCTGTAATTATTACACATGTGATAACTAGCTCCACTTGGCTAAAGGACATCAGAACAATACAACATTAGCTTTTGAAGCAGCTTCCATCAGATAGTACATTCACAAACCAATTTACGCTCAAAATGTGCAAAAATAATTAGTCATAAAATTTCAACATAAATTTATCAACATGTCAAGGAAACATCACTTTGAAGATTTTATCTAAGCAAATAAATTAATATGGTATTGGTTAAAGGAGGTGTGTCACACCTTGCAGCTTCTAAGTGACCAAACAACTTCAAAATATCTCTAGTCCATGGATCATACACATGAAAAATATAGCATACTCAATTTTATTTCCTAGCTGGCCGGCTGGCTAGTGTTTGAGCCCCATTTTTCTAAAAATTCATTTTTTTCGAAACTCATTATCAACCACACATTCTTCAATAAAATAATATTACACGCAAACCAAATTTTTTTCTTAATTTTTAACCACACATTTTTCATCAATCTACTATTCAAAATGCATTCTTCCCCCTTAAAATGGGACTCAAACAAGGGCTTAATTCCGAGTTAGTAGAATGTGATCATATTTAAGGAAAAGAAAAGATTCATGTAGACAAGCTACTGAACCAATATGAAAGGGAAAAAAATAGTCAACCACTTGTGTGATCAGTGATGCCTATTTTGAGCATTCAAATAGACGGCTTTATCAGCTTAATCAACCAAACAATCGATACAATGAACAGATTTTCGAAGAACTAGTTTCACTTGAAGCCAAACTAGATTTTAAATTACCAAGGGTGTCAAAACTGAAAATTCAATATAAATTATGGGTTTTGCTTCGATGGTGCAATTTCAATGCTTTAATCTTTTCACTTTAATCACTTATCTTCTCATATGGTTCTCCACATTCTTTAAAACTCACAAAGCTCCTATGATCTATTCAATATTCTAGACAAAAATGATTCTGTCTTCATAGCATTCAATCATAATGATTGAATTTTAATAAATGAATAAACAACAAATAAGTGTTTTGAGTGCCTGTAGGTATGCATGCAAAGAAGGGAAGGAAACCTTATGGGCTCGCATGCTCGGTAGTAAAGGTAATATTGGCATTTGAGATTCAGTTGCCACCCGGGCTGGCTATTCTGATGATGGCTTAGGTGACACTTGAACTACTTCCACATCCTTTTGAGCTGTTTGCAAAGACTGAGTTGAAGATAACGGAGGTGGTCCAGACTGCAATAGCTGCCCTGGGGTTACAAGTGAAGGTGTGGATGTTTCTAAAAGACCAAGGCTAGATGACCCAGAACCAGATGTAGCAAGACGAGACATGGTATGCTGTGTCAAGGGTGTTGTGACATATTTTGTAAGACTGCTAGCGACCGAAAATGCACCAGCATTGTCAGGAGTCAATGTAGATACAGGGGCTGAGGATGGCAACTTAGAACTTGGTGTTAACGTAGGGATGGCAAATACAGAAGCTTTGTTTGGTAACAGGTTTGTTGTTGTTTCAGATGCCAGTGCAACGGACTGCAGTGGAGGAACACTAAAATGCTAAAAATTGGAGGTACATTAGCAGAACTAGAGCTGTTGGGAAGTAAGGGAG